ACCCCACACTCATTCCTTTGCGTGAGAAGAGTCTCCTTTTTTGTAAGCTTGGCTTTAAAAAAAAATCAAGTTTTTAAGGCCATAAATCAGTGTGTGATATATGTTGCAGTCTCATGTGCTAAACAGGTATTAAAATAAAGCATATAAAAATACAAAGAAGAGGCTAAAGTAGCATGTGACTTGGAGTCTTAACTAGGTTGGTTGCAATTCTGCTCCTGACTTGCAATGAGTGTAACGTGTTTTAGCAGGAGAAGGGAGCAACACAAGATATAACTAACATTCCCTTTTCCCCCAGTAGCTGATAGCTATAAACTTACCTAGCAAGAAAGGGAATGGAGAAAATCTTCAAGAGCTGGGATTCCCAGAAGGCAACTGTGAAAGAGAACAACACACTGAGGCTGCCTCTGGAATAACTTTAAGGAAGAGAATTGCTTTTGATCGTTTTCTCAGGGTTATAAAAGCCAGTGAGCAGCAGCACAAAGCAGACAAGACTTTTGCTAGTTTCATGGCTGTTATTCAGACCTGGCTGGGCAGCAAGGAAATTGTCAACACTTTTGAAATTCTATTTGTGACTGACTGGGAAAAATGGACTATTGAAGCAATTGCCACCAGGTACTTACTAATGGCCCTCCCTGATCTTGTTGTATCTGTTTTTGGTTGGGCCATTGACAGGTGGTGTTGTGTGAAATTTTCAAGCAATGGTTTAAAGTATCCATATCCATACAACATTTGACCTCTTCAGGTCACTGTATGCATTAAGTAATCTTCTATGGTTTAAATAATTTTAAATTAGGATTTTTCTGTCTATTGTTTTTCTCTGTGCTGAAGGGTAATCTTATCACAGGCACAGAATGCATGGAGCTGTTGCAATCTCTAGGAAGACAGGCTGTGTAGGTCCCATTGAAAGTAGCTCTGCACATCAAACTCCCTGGCAGCTGTCTTGGCTGCAGAGCAGAAGGGGGTTTTTGAGAGTGGGCTGTGGAGAGAGGAAGGATTAAGTTCCATCCTACCACCACCCCCAACACTTACAAGTTGTTGGTGAGAAGGGTTTCACTTGAAAAGAGTTGTGAAGCTAATAAAGAAAAACTTTATAGTTCTGGGTATTATGGGAAATATTCCATTCCCTGAACCCAAATGCGTGTCTTTCTTGCTGCAAGTAAAAAAGTGGTTAGCTCTTCCAAGTGTATTCAGTACGTCTTTGGGTTGGCAAGTCTACTGGGTACTGGCTAATTCTTTCTTTGAGGAGATTTACATATAAAATTAATTGCACTGCTGTTATTTTGTTAGGAGGAGGTGGAGAGTGAAGGTGGAGGCTCCTAAATATGAATCACTAACACATATACTGAAATGATGACAAATCTCAGAGCTGCATTTGATCCTAAACATAGCACGATGACAAGGTAGCAGAGTTGTAATTGACATTCAGAGCTTTTCACTAAATAATTACTAGAAAAAAGAGTAAGAAGGGGGAAATTCATAGAATACTAAAACTGGAAGGGACCTCGAAAGATCTTCAAGTCCAGTCCCCTCCCCTCACGGCAGGACCAAGCATGGTCTAAATCATCCCTGATAGATGTCTGTCTAACATACTCTTGAATATCTCCAATGATGGAGATTCCACAACCTCCCTAGGCAATTTATTCCAGTATTTAACCACCCTGACAGGAAGTTTTTCCTAATGTCCAACCTAAACCTCCCTTGCTGCTCCCTTGTTTAAGCCCCTTCTTCCCTGTGACACCCTTTTAGATACCTGAAAACTGCTATCATGTCCCCCCTCAGTCTTCTCTTTTTCAAACTAAACAAGCCCAGTTCCTTCAGCCTTGCCTCATAGCCCATGTTTTCTAGACCTTCAATCATTTTTGTTGCTCTTCTCTGGACCCTCTCCAATTTCTCCACATCTTTCTTGAAATGTGGTGCCCAGAACTGGACACAACTCCAATTGAGGCCTGATCAGGGCAGAGTAGAGCAGAAGAATGACTTCTTGTGTTTTGCTCACAACACTCCTTTTAATGTATCCCAGAATCATGATTGCTTTTTTTTTGCAAGTGTTACACTGTTGACTAATATTTAGCTTATGGTCCACCATGACCCCTAGATCCCTTTCTGCAGTACTCCTCCTTAGACAGTCACTTCCCTTGAGGCTGTTAAAGGCAAGTAGGTTTCCAATATAACATGGTCGTTCACCTGTCATTTTATTATACTTTCACAGGGGAAACAATGCAGCAGCTTTGCTATCTCAGAAAGACAGCTGCATTTCAGTGGTGGAGGAACAGATTCCACAGTGCAACAGTGTCTTTCATCCAGGAAGGTTTTAAAATGTTCACTGCTAAACCACTTAGGGGAGAAGGAACAGTTAGGCAAAGTGAGAATAGTATAATTCATCTTCTCTGGTCTCCTTAAGTAACTATAGTGCTAGAAATCCTCTCTTAAGAATGAATGCAGCATTGATGGGCATAGAACTTTACAGGTAAGACTAGTTCCTTGCTGCCAAGAGGTTGGGCTGCTTGATATAGGTATCATATGGAGACATGAATAAACAATGCTAGGAAGGCGGGGTGAGGAGGAGGTAGGGGCAGGCTGGATATGATGACCATATTTTCGGAACCAACTGCAGCTAAGGAGAATGGTGTAATTTAAATTATTAAACAGATTAAGAAGTTTAACTTTCTCATGTTATTTAAAATGAAGTTTGATAAACTAAAGTACAATATTTTATGTCCAACACAAAAGGTTTCAATATTTTCTTTCTTTATGGCAGGGGTGGGGAACCTTTTTTGGGTCAGGGGCCACTGATGCACAGAAAAATCAGTTGGGGACCACAGAAGCGAGAAGCAGAAAAATTCTCCAAAAACCCCAACCCTCACTGATGTGGCCCTCAACTGCGACACTTCGTTTCTCTGATGCTTCAGCTTCACAGGGTGAAGGGAAGGGACAGGGAGGACTGAAGTTCAGGATTTCTCATAGGCCTGATTTACTTTTCTGGGGTTTCAGAGTTAGTGGATTTTATGGACCCTCTTAGGCTCTGGGGTAGGGACAGAAATGAGGGGTTCAGTGTGCGAGAGAGGGCCACCAGTGAATGGAAAAGGGATGGGGTGCAGAATCTGGGAGGGAGGTGGGGTGCACAAGGACAGGTTGCAAGGTCTGGGGTGGAGGTAGGGTGTAGAAGCAGGCTGGTAATAGGGAGTCTAGCTACGTGGATGCAGGAGCAGGATGGGAATAAGGTGTCTGGCCAGGAAGGAGAGTACAGGAGCAAGGGTAGGTATCTCAGCAAGCTGGGGGTGTAGTGTCTGGGGTGCAGAATCTGGGAGGGAGGTGGGGTGCACAAGGACAGGTTGCAAGGTCTGGGGTGGAGGTAGGGTGTAGAAGCAGGCTGGTAATAGGGAGTCTAGCTACGTGGATGCAGGAGCAGGATGGGAATAAGGTGTCTGGCCAGGAAGGAGAGTACAGGAGCAAGGGTAGGTATCTCAGCAAGCTGGGGGTGTAGTGTCTTGGCCGGGGGAGGGGAGTGAGGGGGATTGGAATGTGGGGGGTCTGGGCATGCGGGGGGATTCTAACCTGGCTTTGTGATGGGGGAAAGCTTCTAGACAGTGTGCTGCCATTCCCTTAGTGGGGTGGGGAGGGAGCTTACCCCTCTCCTTCCCCCCCCATGCAGCAAGGAGCCTGTGCAACTGCCAGGCTGGAGCACCAGTTTGGCTTCCCACTAGGAGGGCTCAGGGCGGGGGAGGTGAAGAAAGCGCCAACTTTCCCTGCCAGCCCAGGCTCATGGTAGAGAGCAGCAGAGTGAGCGGCTTGATGCGCTGCTGCTCCTGCAGTAGGGTGGAGACGGAATGCACCTGCCAAGCCCGAGTGCACCCTGCCTTGCACCGCCCCAGATGGGCTCTGCGCCGAGGTCTGGGAGTGGCTCTGCAGGGTTTTGCTTCAGACCTGGCTGCTCCCCACTTTGGTAATAACAGCGGCCGCTGTAACAAGCGGCTGCCTGGAGATGGAGGAGGTGGCAGTGCGGCTGGACCAGGGCCCTGCACAGCAGAGCGGGAACTCAAAAAATGGTCTGGACTCTGGAAACTGTATGCCACCGGAAGCAGCCCCGGCTGCCCACTGGCAAAGCACCCAGAGAGCTACCTACTTTCTCTGTGGGGTGGGGAGATAGGGAGGCCGTTGCTGCTGCGCCGTGCTAGTGTGAGCCTGTCACAGCTGGGAGAAGGGAAATGGCAATGCATGGAGTCGGGGGGGCTAGTGTTCCCCATATGCCGGATTGGGTGGGAAAGCTTGGGGCTTTCTCCACCCCTGACTTTCATTGCATGTGTCACTGAAAATCATCTTGCATGCCACTTATGGCATGTGTGCTATAGGTTGCCGACCCCTGATATAGGGAGACAATTTTCAGCTCTTACTCAGAAGAATGGGAGGGATAGTCTTTTATACTGTGACAAAGGTTAGTTCTAGATCATCCTGCTGGATCATGAGGATAGTTGGGGCTAATGAAGAAGGAGGGCACTGTGGGGCTCTGTATTCATTCCGTTTGGAGATGGGTGGGAAAATGGGAGCTCATGCAAATAAGTCTTTCTCCCCTCTCTCCAGGAAACAGGGAAGCGGATGCAGTCCTACTGTTGCAATAACTATCAGGCATCTGTTGCAAAATATGGTATGGAAAATCAAGCAAAATCAGATACTTAAAAAAAAGCTCTTACCGTTGTGGGTTAGGTGGCACTTCCTGGGTTCCCTTCTTTAGGATTCTTACATAGCTCTGTGTCTATGAAGTCCTGCCATGCTGTGGTACTCTGGTAAGCAGAGGAGGGTGAAGATTTGGGTTACTCTGGCAAGTGACTTCTTTAGGTTTATATTACAGAGCCTGCAGCAAAACCTACCTGGGAGCAGGGCCACCAGTCATTGCCAGCCCCATTGTCATGAGGGAGGTTTCACTGTGGGCTCTGTAGCCGGCTCCCTGGAAGCAGGCTGGCAGCTTCTGCTGGCACATGTTCCTGGGAGCCACAGTGAGATGAGGGTGTATGGGCCAGGCCCACCATGCACAGGGGCTCCTCCAGCCAGCTGGCTGAAATAGCCGCTGCCTGCAGTGGACCCTGCTTCAGTTCCTACTGGTTAATCGGAACTGATAAGCCTTACCTGGTAAGGCTGAGGATTACTGGTTAACCTTTTACATTCCCTAACGCAGCAGTTCTCAAACTGGACAGTAGGACCCCAAAGTGGGTTGCCAACCCCATTTTATTGGGGTCACCAGGGCTGGCTGGCTTGGATTTTCTGGGGCCTATGGCTGAAACTCTACCCAATTCCCATCACCTTGGGTGGTGGGGCTCAGGTTATAGGCCCCCTTCCTGGGGCTAAAGCCCTTGGGTTTAGACTTTTGCCCTCACCTAGGGTAGTGAGAATCGGGCTTTGGCCGCATCACCTGCAGCAGTGGGGTTTGGGCGAGTTCACGCTCCTGGGATTGTGTAGTACAGTAAAACTCCGATGGTCCGGCACCATCAGGAACCCGGAAGTGCTCCGGGCAGCTGGACCATTGGAACTGCTCTGCCCCCAGCTTCCCCAATTCAGCCGCTGCTAAAACTGACCAGCGCTGAATCCGGGAAGCAGGGGGCAGAACAGCTGGGGTGCTGCCGGGTAGGTCCAGTAGCGCTGCCCCTCAGGGCTGCGGGACCAACCCAGCAGAACCCCAGCTGTCCTGGATTCAGCCGCTGCTG